TGCAGAATTACTTTTAGAAAATTGGTCTAGAAAATTCGATTTGTGTGTGTGTGATCTCATGCTCTCAGTTTTGCACTATGCTCTCTGCAAATAATTGGTTGAGGAACTAGGGTGTGATCGAAATAATTGGTTGAACCCCCAAGTGCTGGACCTGCTTCTTGTGCACACTGAGCAACCGGGGGCACACCCTGCTGTTGTAGCAAGCACAAGCAAAATGTGATAATTTTTTCAGTTAGCGTTGTTTTTTAATACTTGTTCCTGACTGAGTAGGCAATGTTTAGGAATAGGATTATTCTCAACAAGTCAACATTGCTTGCAGCACCACTTGGTCTGTTTGTACATGCAATGTGATAATATCACATAGAAAATGAAACTAGTATATGTAGATACTATCCATGTGGATAACTTTATATTTATTTGGTCTGATGTTATAGGTGTTGCAATGCCTCTCTGGTCAAGGTTTGACTTCATCAGGTGGTAGTGGTCAGGTAGGAAGTGATGGTGGCAATAGCAGTGGAGCTTCAAGAGCGGCTGTGAAGGAGAGGTCAGTCTGATACTATAATTATTTGAGGATTACTTTCTTGTACAAGTTCTGAAGTATTATCATGTTTTTGGTTTCTTCCTGTGGTGCTATCAGATTAAGGTCTTTCAATGTGTTATTTGAAGAGATCTACCAGAAGCAGTGTGGCTGGTCTGTTCCAAACACTGAGCTGCGCGAGTCACTAAGACTCGTAGTTGCTGAAATCCTGTTGCCTGCCTACCGATCTTTCATAAAACGTTTTGGGTATGCTGCTCTGACTCCTTGTTACTTGTCGAAAGTTAACCTATGAGCCCAGGAATCAGCTATTTTTCTGAATGATACCTGCAGTATTCCTTCTACTTCATGTCCGTGATGCTTAAACATATTATTTTCTGATCATTTGTAGGCCTCTCATCGAGAATAGCAAAGCACCTGGAAAATACGTGAAGCACACTCCCGAGCAACTCGAGCTGCTGCTGGGCAATTTATTTGAGGGGAAACAAGAACGCGCTTGATAGTTTGGTACCGCAACAACGATGTGATGTCTTTTCCATGGATCTACATTCTCATAGTCTTTGATCTGAATTGCTATTGTTTTTTTTTTGCTTTTTCAGAAAGTAGATTCAAAAGATTGGGATATTAACCTTTGCTGATGAGGTATGGATCAGTCTTCTAGGTTTTCTTCTTGAAATTAGATCTATTTCTGGTTGGCTTCTCTCCGAAGTCTTTATATTCCTATGTATTTATGGTTATGGGCTTTTGTTATGGGCTGCTACTGTTAAATGGGTTAATTTGTAATTTTAGTTATATTCCTATGTATTTATGGTTTTGGGCTTCTCTTATGGGCTGCTGTTAAATGGATTATTTTATCATTTTAGTTAATGGGCCAACTTTGGTTGCACAGAAATTATAACAGATTTTCTCTAAGTGGGCCTTCTTTAAAAACGTGTGCTGCCTTGTGCTAAAACACATGGTTTCTTCTCTCTTGAAAATTATATGTTATGCAAGTAACCAACAACCATGTGCTAGCTTTTGCTAAAACACATGGATTTTCTCTCTGTTATAAATTGTGTGTTTTGTAGCTACCAAACAACCACGTGCTACCTTTTGTTGAAACATATGGTTGTTGAGTAGACAGATTTCCTCCAATTGAGTCATGTGGTATTTAAAGTCCCACCAGTTAGAGCGGCGGAAAGAAGTATAAGTACAGCCATTTGAAATGGTGAAAGTTGGTTTCCACTGCAATGAAGGCTGGTTACCCACAAGGCGGTAGTTCCATCTTTTTGAATCTTTTTTTAATCTACAGAACGAATAATTAGGGGGCCTTAGAAAAATTATAATAGGGGCCTTAGAAAAATTCTAATCTTCAAAATAGATGTAAAAAATTAAGCATGGTCCATTTTACTAATATCTAACATCATAGCTTTTGTAGTATTGAAACTAATATTCTTCGTTGAATGTTATTATATTTGAGTTTTCGGTTAAGTTGTTAAGCCCCAAAATGTTGTTCAAACAATTTAGAAAAATCATCTAAATTTATGGTTTGAAAAGTAGTATTTTCTTAGCATACATGCTCAGTTGAAGTTCAAATTTTTTTATTGCAATACATGCTAAAAATTAAGCTTTGTTTTGATATTAAATTTAGATGCATTCTAATAAGCAAAAAAAATCATGGATTCAAAAGACAATGGACATGTGTCACAAAATTTGGAGAGAGATGATGCGTCTGAAAATTTTGATCTTGTTTTCAATTCATTTAAAATTTAATATGAAAACAAAATCTAACTTTGTGCATGCGTTTTATTAAGGAATTTTCGATTTTACTTGAGCATGCGTGCTAATAAATTACATAATAAAATACTACTCTCTAGACCAGTGATTTAGTGCTTTTTTCTAATCTTGAAAAATGTTTTGGGGCTAAACAACTCAACTAAAAAACCCAAATATAGTATTTTGTGGAGAATACTAATTTAAAAATTGCAGAAGCTATGGTGCCAAATACAGGTAAAATGGTGGTGCTTGATTTTAACATCATTTCAAAATATTGCAAGAACATGTAGGGCAGGTGTTAAAATCTTGTAATCTTTTGAATCGATGTTAAAATCAAGCATGACTCATTTCACCTATATCTAGCATCATAGTTGCTGCAGTTTTGAAATTAATATTATTCACAGAATGCTATATTTGAGTTTTCGATTGTGTTGTTTAGCTGTAAAAACGTTTTAATCTTCCTTATGATCTGGCTAAAAAGAACAGCACTGTACTAGTTCCAAATTATAACTCGTTCTAACATTTGTGGTACATCCAGAGCCGTGCCCCATGGGCGTGCAGGCCTTGCGACCGTACGAGGCCTCAGATTTTTTGGGGCCTCAAATTTACAGTCCATCAGGAGTCTGGAAATTGCTGTGGTACTGCATCGGTCGACTCGCACTTGCCTGTCCATCCGCCGATCAAACTCGTCGAACTGATAGCCGTCTATTCGATCTACGTCGTTCTGCCACTCTGTCGTCTGTCATCTCCCAGTCTCCGCTAACCTGGAAATCTCAAGTCTGCGCGCGTAGATGCTGCGGGTGCCCGTCCGTTGTGCCCCAAACTGCCTGGTATTGTTTATTGTTGGAATTATTTCTTTTTAATTACTTACTAAATGCTAAACATTCTCCTGTTTGCATAGAACTTCAGTGCTAGAATTATTTCTTTTAGAGGTTTGCTATATAAAACATTTTTTAAGAAAAAGAGTACATTTTAGCATATGTATTATTGTCATTCCATTTTCTAAAGTGGGCAGGACCTATTTTAAATTTTTAGAACAAGGCCCCGGATTTTGCCGCACGACGGCTTAGGTACATCCATTTTGTTATGCATCTAAATAAATAGAATATATGTCTAGATACATAGCAAAAATAGATATATAAAAAATTCAAAGTGACTTATAATTTGAAACGCAGGAAAGTATTAAACATCCTTGTTTTTATGAGATCCGGGGTAATCCATACTAATTTGTGAGATGAGTCCAGGGAACCAGTGACGTTCTAGTTCTGTACTGGTGGAAGGCATTACATCAGCATTAGCCTTGTCCCTTGTTTGAAGAAATTTGGATTTGAAATTTCATCCGTACTAATTTGTTTATTTGACAATGATTCAAACAACTAATTAGGAACGTTCGTCGTTTCCCACCAAACCGCAATTAGTTTTTCTTTTCGCTCATATTTAATGCTTAGGCATTACATCAGCATCAGCTTTTTGAAAGTTGAGGTGAAACTAAACAGGGGCTAATTTCTGCTCTTGAAGCAAAAATGGCAGTTAGTCAGGTAACTAATGCTGCACACGCTCTACTCTGGCACCGAAACTGCACCCGCAGGCCGCAGCCCGCAGCTGTGGTGACAGCCGCTGCGCCTTCTCCTCGTGCGCGGCTGCCCAAGAAGACCCTGGTGCGCCGCAGGCCCGCAGCCGCAGTTGTTTGCTCTTTTCGTTTTTACCAGTGCCAGTTCGCCAGTTTTGCGGCCCTGCTGCCAGACATTAACGCGCTCTGCAGAGTACTGTAGCGCAGGCCGGCCCTCTGCGAACTGCAGTGCAAGTAAATTCAGTCAGAAGCGGGGCCGTTTTTACTGCAGCTTGAGCAAAAACGCCGCCTGGTCCCCTGGTTTCTATTCCCTCTCCCTGCATCTGGAACGAAGCAACGAAGCAGAAACTGGGAGGCAATTATTTTTCGATAAGAGGTGGAATGGAATCGTCGCACTGACGACTTCTTCCTGTGTGAAAGCGAAGCATCTTTGATTCAACTGTCACTCTTTCTTTCTCCCGCATTTCAGGCTGATCTAAGTTTTTTTTCTCCATCACATTCTTTTGGACTAGTTCAAAATATAATAAAAAATAACTAATTACACAGTCTTGTAAATTACGATATATGAATCTTTTAAGCATCTTTTCGATTTTCGATTTTTAAATCCAAACGAAAGTCAGGTCAAATATTGATTTCTAATCGGGATCTAAACAAGGCCCTAGTTCAAACCAAATTCAAGAGTCTGTGTACCGCATCTTTTCGATTTTCGAATTTTTCATCCACGCAGGTTATCGGCATTTATTTTGGTGTACATACAAATAAGCAGCGACCGGCGACAGGCACAACATCACGGACCCAAGTACAAACCCTGCTCGGACCGATTCACAAAAGGATTTCGTCAGAACCGGACAACAACACGACACACACCACCACCCCAGTGCTTCCGCTGCGATGCAGCCCCGAAACCCGCGGCTCTCTGAGCCGCACGCGCGCACGGCAGGAGCGCGACAAGACACCGCAGGCCGCAGCAGTTACACCGCGTCACCCGCGCAGCGTGACGACCCCCCCAACCAGCCTGACATCTGCAGCAGCGGCAGTACAAGGCAGGCGGCTGTTTGGGCACGTGCCAGACAACCACCACCCAGCCTTTCGCGCGCGCGCGCCAGCGCGCGTTTTCGCGCCATCTTTCGCTTGTTTCTTCTACCTGGCGATCCGGCGCGACTCGTCGCGGCGGTGGGAGACGAGCTTGGCGGCGTCGCGCCACCACACCACCTCGCGCTCCTTCTCGTGGAGCCTGCGCTGCGCGCTGTCCAGCGCCGACTCCAGCTCCACGATCCGATCCTGCTGCCGCTTCTGCAGCAGCTCGTGGAGCCGCCGCTCCAGCGCGCGCGCCGACACGCCGCCGTGCGGGGGGCTCATCCTGTCCGCGCCGTAACCCCCATCTTCCTCGTCGTCATCCTCCTCGTACTCCTCCTCCTCCTCGTCGTCGTCGTCATCCTCACCATTGCCGTCCACTTCATCATCGTCGTCGTGCTTGTTGCACCGTCGTCGCCGTTGTCCACGCAGCTGCGCGACGTGCTATCGTCGGCGTCGCCCTTCTTCGTCTTCACCTTCAACAGTGGCAGCTGGCGGCAACGGCAGACACATCAGCAAGACGAACACGCGTCGCGTCACTCGGACGTACGGTGTTCTACGTGCGGTATGGTACGTGGCGTACTGGTGATTCGTGGCTGGGTGGGCAATTCAACCCGTGCGGCACGTACCTCGAGTCCTGCCATCGGGGCGATCCGGTTGTCGCCGCCGCCGTGGCCGTGCACCGCACCGCCGCGCTGGCGCTCCATGCGGCTCAGCTCGGCCTGGAGCTCCGCCTCCATCAGGTCCATGACCACGGCCGCGCGGCCTTCGACCGCGTTGTCGGCCGCCGTGCGGGAGCAGTTGGACGCGGCGTCGGCGTCGGCCGCGGGGAACGCGATCGGGTCCTTCACGGCGGTCGTGGTGGCGCTGCTGCCGTCGGATTCCTGCGAGGTGGACGGCGCAGCAGGGTGGTTCGCCTGCTTCTCCTCCTTCCACCGCGCGGCTTGCCTGATCTCTGACACCAGCGCCTCCATCTGCGCGCGCAGCTCCACCATCTTGTTCAGCTCCACGGCGCTCTTGGACAGCAGCAGCACCAGGCTGGCGCCCAGGCCCAGGTTCATGGACACCAGCTCCTCCTCCGGTTTCTTCCTCCCTGCGGAATCCATCAAAGTTTCAGCATTAGCATCACTGATCTCGATGTCAACGTAATTCAAGCAAGCATTATATTTTTTCCTCTGTTCTGAATTAGTAGAAGGTTTAGTTTAGTGATCATCCTGCCTCGGCATGCCGAACCTAAAGAACTCCGTGGCGTCTCGAGGGGCAGTTCCGGCGGTGGCGGTGGCGGCGGCTCCACGACCTTAACCCGGGGAGTCTCCCCCTGCTCGGTGCCGTCCTTCCGTTCCTCCCTCAGGCCGCCGCCGTACCGCCGCGGCAGCCGCACCCGGCACCCGAACCCTCCCCCGCCACTCCCGCCGTCCCCGCCACGCAGCAGGATGCGCGACAGCAGCGACCGCGGCGACGGCTGCGCGTCCACCCCGCTCGCGGTGCGCGCCAGGTGCGCCCGGATGGACACCGTCGCCGCCGCAGCAGCAGCAGCATTAGAGGAATTCGCGGCCGCGAGGCGCGGCGGCGGAGGCAGGGGCAGCGACGGACCCGCCTCCTCCCTTACCCTTCCTCCCGCTCGACCTCTCACGCAGTTCTCCATTGAAACAGCGATGGAATGGAACAAGTAAGCTAAGCTAAGCTATAGCCGCCTGCCCGCCGAGGAATTCGAATTCTTGGACACGCCTAGTGCTCCGGCGGCACGCCGCGAATTTATAGTTGAAGGAGAGGAGGAAGGAGAACGAAGCTCTCCTCTTCCGGAAAGGCGCGGCAACTTTGGAGGGAAGCTCGGCAAGTTTAAAAAAGCGGGGTTTTAAATGCTGGTACTAATCAAGACGATGAATGATCTTGGAAGCTTGCTTGGGCTGCGCTAATGGCGCGATGGCCCCACCGTCGTCCCAGGCAATTGGAGGCGCAGGGGAGGGAGGAATTAACTGCGGGGGCGAGCAACCCATGTTGATGCTGCTGCTGCAGCCTTGAGGCCTGCAGGTACTGGTACTGGTAACTGCGCGCTCTGCCGTGCTGCCATTTTTACCTTCTGCTGTTCTGCATCAAGCTCTTGAAATGGAACTGTGAATTCCTGAGTGTTTACTGACGGACGAACCAAGCAGAAGCAGAGCAGAGGGTGGGCAGCGCCAGGGCCAGGGAATTTTCTTCTGGAGACTGGTGGGTGTGTCCTCATGTCGTGCTGACATTTGTTACTGCTGCTGCTTTGCAGTTGCAGCCTTGCAGGGTGCGTAGGCAGGCAGGTAGGCATAGGCATTGTTGTGGGCCGGAACTAGGTGGTGGGAGCCGTTTGATGGAGCATCCGACGGCTGACATTGAGGCCGGCGAAACGAGTGGTGTAGCAGCGTCGTGCAAGTGAGCCACCAGCAAAGCAATACGGGCATACGGGTGGTGTACAGAGGCGGAGCTGCCCTTGCGGCAGTGTGGGGGCAGCCGCCCCACCTACCGCCGGAGTAGCACCGCTACTAGCCCCCATGTCTTCCTCCATTCCGGCCAGGCAGGCAGCGGAGTGGCGCGAATGGCGTCTGCCGCAACGGCCGACGAGCGACGAGAGCTGTAGCCAGCCGCCCAGCCACAATGAAAAACGGCCCAATAAGCCTAGCCTGGCAACCGGCCCAAGTGGAAGTGTGTGTCCCAAATCCCTAATTCCCAATCGGCAATCGTCCCGGCTCGGTGGCTCCTCCATTCGCGCCGCTCCGCTCGGCGCTCGCTCACGCAGTCACACCGCGCCGCTCGGCGCTCGGCCGCTCGCTGCAGCCGCCGGCGCCTCGCCCGCCCCCCGGTGACATGCCCCGAGCCCCGAGGTGCGCCGCGCCGCCGCTCCCGGCCTCCCGCTCGGCACCGGGGAGGCTGCTCTGATGGAGGAGATCCAGGAGGATTTGGCCGGCAAGCAGACGACAGGTGCAGGACACGGGCGTGGCCGTGGCCAAGGAGAAGCTGAAGGAGAGCGAGAGGGAGGAGCAGGCCGAGGTCGAGGCTGGGGAGCAGGCGCCCCCAACATCAACAGTCATGCATCTTCTGCAATTGGAAAGAAAAAACTTGTGACAAGAGGTACAATTGTGAATTTGAGATTTAGGCATTTAGCAATCTATTTGAGATGTGATAATTGAGATTTTGCTTGTTGTATATGTGTAGATTTGAAGTTTTTTTTCAAGTATGAGTGTTGGTTCTGAATCCCGCCCAAGTACCCATGAAAGTCAAATTGGTGTGGCTGTGGAATCTGAAGAAATACATCAAGAACTAGTTGTAGTTTCTCAAGTTGAATCAACTGTTGTTAGGCCAGAACAAGCACAAGCCCAAACAGAGCAAGCACAAACACATGATGAAGAAGAAAGTGAAGGTACTGATCTCATTAGGGAATTTGATGCAAATCTTCATGTTATTGCTGATCCTGGATGTCAAATAACAATTGATAGATTTCACCCTGACATTAGAGATGAGGTTAAGAGGGCTTAGGGGACAAGGATATGATGGAGCCTCAAATATGAGAGGAGAATTCAATGGGCTACAAAAGCAAATTCGTGATGAGAACCCATATGCTTTCTATGTTCACTGCTTTGCCCACCAATTGCAATTGATAATTGTTTCTGTCACATCTAGTTGTTCATCCTTTGATGATTTCTTCAACTATGTTAGTTTGATTGTCACAAGTGCTAGTTCATCTTGTAAAAGAAAGGATAAGCTAATTACAAAACATCGAGAAGAAATTTTGGAAAAATTGGAGAGTGGTCAAAATTTTTTAAGGAAAGGGCAAGCACTAGAGGACAAATTTAGTTCGAGCTGGAGAAACAAGGTGGGGTTCTCATTTAACAACCTTAGCTCGTATTGAGACAATGTGGAATTCTGTGATTAAGGTCTTGTCCATGATTCATGAGGATGAGCGTAATACTAGTCGAGCGGGTGGTTTGGTGCGCAAGATGGAGAGTTTCTCTTTTGTTTTGAATATGAAGTTGATGTTGAAGGTGCTTCGCATTACTAATGAGCTATCTCAGCTGCCGCAAAGAAAGGATCAAAATATTGTTCAGGCCATGTCATTGCTTGTTGATGTGAAAACAAGGTTGATGACTTTGAGAAATGAAGGTTGGGAGCCGTTGTCGTTTTGATACCTAGATGGGGTCGATCAAGGCTAGATGGTAACTAAATCACTCAAGAGCATCATTACCGTGTTGATACTTTCTTGGCTGCTATTGATGCTATTATCACCGAGATGGACTATCGCTTCAATGAGGTATCATCAGAGTTACTTGTTTGCTTCTCATGTCTTGATCCAAGAAACTCCTTTTCCAAGTTTGATGTTGAAAAGATTGCTCGATTAACTGAAATATATGAAGAAGATTTCTCTGACTTGGATCGCTCTAATATAAGAGAACAACTTCAGACATTCATCCTTCACATGAGAAGAGTTGAACAATTCAAGGCTTGTCATGATTTTGGAAGTTTGGCCATACAGATGGTTAAAAGTGAAAGAGACATCACTTTTCCATTGGTCTATCACCTCATCAAGCTAGCATTGCTTCTACCTGTTGCAACTCGGCTATGAATATAATCAAGACATATTTGCATAATAGGATGTCCGATGAATGTCTTAATGACTTGATACTCTGTTACATTGAGAAGGAGATTTTTAGAGGCCTTGATGGAGATGAAATCAGAAAGACATTTCAAGCCATCAAAAATCGGGCTATTGACTTGCCTAGGCCACTAAGAAGACTTAGACACGATTAGTTCTTTAACTCCTCATAACTTTATTATTGCATTATAATTCATATATTACACACTAGGCCTCGTTCGACTTACCCCATATCCGGCTTGTTCGGCTTCTTTTTTCAGCCAGAACAATATTTTTCTCTCATAATATTTCAGCCAAAACAGTGTTTTTCAGCCAAGATTCAGCAAGCCGAATGGGACCTAAGTCACTAACTGATTTTCTCTTCAAATTTACAGGTTTCTTAGCTCTTGGAATATTGGATTTTAGTCTTTAATTTGGACACTTATTCTTGTTCGGTTGGTCTTTGTTGAATTAACGGACTACTATCTTCAAATTAGAGGTACCATTATCAATCGCTATTTAAATTTGCCATAGATTAGCTGTTGATGTGCGTCCTTGTGTTGTCATTAAAAAGTTTTGTCACCGATGCGCCCCACCTAAATTTTTGTTCGAGCTCCGCCACCGGTGGTGTAGGTGTAACAGCATTGTTTTTCACCACACAGGATTAAAATTTTGAAATGCGTTCGGGGTGAGCCAATGAAGTTGTGTTACGTGAAGTACTGTGTCCTTAAAGGAGACAACTATGCATGCATAGCATTGGCAAAGTTCTTTAATACTCCTTCCATTCTCTTTTACAAGACCCAACTTGATATGACACGGTCTTCCAAGTTACAATTTAACCATCTGATTATTAGTAGATCAGTTCATTGCAAATTTAAACGCTTTTGTTTTCGGTTTTCCTGATCTACTCTAATAAAATACTAATTATGTGGCGTAACCTCGCTCAATCCTGCGTGCTCGTCTCTGATCGAAAGACATGACATGATCGTAGGCCTAGCTATCTGGTTAGTTAGTGCATGTTTAGTTTCCAAAATTTTACAAATTTTTTAAAATTTCTCGTCACATCGAATCTTTGGACGCATCCATGAAGCATTAAATATAAATAAAAAATAAAACTAATTACACAGTTTAGACGAAATTCACAAGACGAATCTTTTAAGCATAATTAGATTATGATTGGACACTAATTATCAAATAACAACGAAAATGCTATAGTTCCATTTTCAAAAAAAATCGCCAACTAAATAGACCCTTATAGTACGTTCTTGTGGCCGCATGATGGTGAGCTACGTTGCCTAGCCAGTCAAGTGTGGTCATGTGTCATGACACCACATGGCGATTAGAGGTACAATACAACGCTCGTACTAACTTGCGTGTTAACTGCGATTTCGAATTGAAACGTTGGAGAATTAAATGGAAGCTCCACGGATTTACTTCCCAGGTTAAAAACGCTCCAGACGATAGAACGGAAGGGCTTAGTCTTTGACCGTTGAGTTCAATTCAAATTCGTTCGTCAACAGTACGTAGTCGCCATATTTCGGTCGTCAGCTGTGTGGTAACGCCAAACTTAAACCAACTGTTGCGCGTACACGATTAGGGCGATAAATACTTGCGGTCTGACTGACGACGACAGACTGTAAGTGAATGCTTGCGTACTGCAGCCTCAAAAAGTTACGGTTACGGCCTAAACACAGGAGTAGGGCGCAGTTCGTACGTACACTTTCTCCGTGTAAGATCATGCATGTAAAGCCGTCTATGTATGTGTAGTAGTCTTGATTACCACTAATAAACAGGGAAAGTGAATTTACTGTACAGTGCTTTGGGGAGAGACCAGTCTACAACAACTTGGGATGTTTAGATCCAGTGACTAAAGTTTAGGAGGTGTCACATGAGGGTGTCGCATGGGATATTCGGATATTAATAAAAAAATAAATTAAAGAATCCGTTAGTAATCCGGGAGACGAATTTATTAAGCTTAATTAATTCGGCATTAGCACATGTTTACTGTAACACCACATTGTCAAATCATGGACTAATTAGGCTTAATT